GGGGGGGGGGGGGAGGGTGGAAATAAGTAGGGCGGCCCGTCGTGAAGAAAAATGGCGGTACGGCTGATAAGATAAGAAGAAGCTCCGAAAATTATTCTCTGGTTTTGGTGTGTGACTCTACAGAAACGTGCTGGACGGACAGGACGGACTGGGCTGTGACGCAGCTCAGCGCAGGCCCAGGAACAGCTAACAAAAGTAGCTCCATACCACTCCAATAGTGGATAGATACCTCCGATTGCTATCTACAAACTCCAAGACTAAAGGGAACTGCCCCAACATTTCGGCCGTAAATGAGAAAATTTACCAAGATTCGATAGAGATCGTCCCTCACTAGTGTGTCTTGTTCAAGGGTCTTTCGTGGAGAATCCAAGGCATGAGTTCTGTGACACCCGACTTTGATGCCTGCTGTTGTCCCGTTATGGCCCTGACAATCAAGACTTTTCTTATCAATTTTTGTGTATCTTGTTGAGTATATCCCACATTGACTGTACCTGCAGCCAGATACCGAACAGCACCTCACTCACATCTTATCATCCTTTGCTGAGCTCCCCAGACTAAGCCAAGCTAGGCTTATGGGTCCGGTTACGGCGACCCTTCAAGTACATACATACAAAGAAACAAACAAGGACACAGCAGAGCAACGGTCGTAAGCAGCAAGGAAAATGATTCTACTGGTGCTCACAGACGTCTGGAAGAGGTGTCAAGTTCTTTCTGACCCATTGAAAAAAAGGAAAACAGCCAATGCGGTGTAGTATTCTCCCAGGCTAATGATGAAATGCCCCGACATCGCCGTCCACTTTGGTGGTATCGGCGGAATCGACGGAGATATGTACCGCTTGTGCCGCCGCTACTCTGCGCTTTGGCGGTGATAGGGCCGCTGGCGGAGTTTATCTGAGTCATGCGAGGTTCCGAATTTCATCGACTGCCGAGTAGTGAGTCCGATATACGGTTGTCAATTACCAAGTGTAGGTCCCTCTACACTCAAAATTTACAACAATGGCACTATATTGGGCTATATCAAGCTCCTGCTGATTAGTACATAATGTGTGTCGATATTGAGCATGGGGACATGAGAGGTGCATTTAGGCTTTACAAGAGCTAGGTACGGGAACACGCACCGAACCCACAGGATCCGCTCAGAATGCGATACTCCGATAGACACTGCACAACTCGATCGTCAAAAAGGGCATCGAGACTGGCAGAAAAATGCCGGGATCCCGAATCCACCGTAGACAACGTCGTGCTCGACCCAACACGACAAAAAAATGTCATCTCATCAATTTCTATCATTATGCAACTAGGTATCATGGGCTTACCCTATATCACTCACTCACTAACATGCTATTGGCCAATTTTAACGCACGCTGCAAACTGACCTCAGCAAGACTCAGCACCTACGAGAGTGAATCGACAATGGAAGATGATTCAATATTTGAAAATAAGGGATGCGACGGAATCTACCTGGCAATAACTGAGAGTGCCACAATTTCATAACAATAAACTTAACTTTACTTGCGGGTGACAGAGTACCCATAGTATTCATTACAAAAGCTCAAATCTAAACTCAGTTAATCGAGTAGAAACTTATCACCAGAATGACAAGAAAGCGAGCAAAGGAGGACCACATGGGCTATGTCGCTAGGCTGCAGATATCATCCAAGTGTTGTTCTCTGATTTGAGACACGAATTGGTTTCTGGCATTTTCTTCCGTCCAACAATATGACCTAGCTGAGATACTGAGTTACGATGCATCGAAGTTCTCTCTACATGATCTGTCACTCGTACTAAATAGAGAAATCCTAATTATCTACTGAGCGAGAGAATATATACTGGAAGTAGTCACATTGAGCGCATTGGGGACAGCAATACATAAGAGTCTGCTTGGATATTACCACTACCAGCCAATCTCGACATAACTCAACTTCAAGGAATGTTCCAAATGCTTCCCAAGTAACGCCGACACAGTTCCAATGCACCCAATAATGAAGACACTGGCAAACTTAGGCGCTCACCAAGAACATTAAACCAAGAACATTAAACCAAGAACAGCATACGCAATAAGTGGACAAGATGGATCAGACAAACTTTTTGATTCTATAATTTGGTTTTCGCGCCTATGGTTCGGAACCACACAAGCTTTGTTGATGTGATATGAGATGATAAGGTCAACTTTATTCCAAGTCTTGAAGTCATATATAAGTAAACTGCGCTGTTTTGCTTTAGAAAACCGTTTGTTTCTTCTCCTGCAACGAACCATACCCAGCCCATACAACACTCACGCGCTGACCAGAATGGAGTTCAATATCCTCATAGTGCTGATCTCGTTCCTGATCGGAGCTGCGTTCGCTTCACCATTGGCGAAACGTAACAGAACTGAAGGACTGAGCAAAAGGCTCAAAGGCACCGACTTTTCTCGCCCCGAGCCTCTTGATCGTTTTAGAAACGATCCCAGGTTTGCTCTTGGACCTAGTCTGTTTGTAGCTCCAGCGATCAGAAACAGCTCCTTTGTGACTAGGCGCATCATGCAAAAGAGACCAGATACAGGAGAATACGAGTCAAAGTTTTACCATATTTGCCAGCCTGGCAACAAGACCGAACAGGAGTATAAGCTCCCGAAACCTGACGAGAACATAGACGTCTCGCTTGACAAGATGGAATATTCTGAGCATGAGAAGAAGACTTTGGCCGAGGTGCTTCTCGAAAGCCTCAACAAAAACCTGGAAGAGTCCGTGAAAGAAAACCATACCGGTCATACTCAAATTATCGAAAACCCCAAGATGATGCCACACGTGTGGCATGACTCCCTTAAGTCACACACCAAAGAAGATAAAGACGAGGACAAGGACCACGAGGAAGACAACAGCCAGAGTGAGAACGACAGCGACAGCGACGACGAAGAAGATGCAAAAAAGGGAATTAAGAAAGTATTCAGAATGATTCAGAAGCGAGACGACGAGAAGGAGGAGGAGGAGAAGCCATATCTATGGCCTGAACACAACAGACCAAAGGTCTCCGAGGATGGGAAGTTCAGATACTTGTACTCCAGCGAGGGAAAGCAATATGCTGTTGCAACTCCCCAGCATCTTGCCAATGAGGTCAGCAAATGCATGCAATTATACGGCAACTTATACGTGCACGATGCTGATATGCGAACCCTATAGACTAATCGCCACGAGAAGGCCCAGCAAGACAAGGAGCAGAAGTTGGACATTATTCAACACGAGCTTCAGAAGGAAATGGACGCAAAACTACAGCAGGAGCACAGTAGATTGAAGCACGAGAACAAGATGAAGTTCAATGCGTCAAAGCCCGAAAAGGACGAACAAATTGCTCGACTCTAGTTGTTCTAGTCATCTAACTATGGGTTGGGAGTTAGCACAGCGAACATACCCGTCCCTATTCTATTGACATAGAAGGTTATTCGCGTTGATTTCGTCCCTAAGGTAGTTCAGTTTCATATTCTCAAAAGAACACAGGGGATATGTCACCCGCGTACTGTCATATCATTGAAGAGACTGATCCCTTTCAAATGCACAGTGATGACTCTAACAAAGAACACACACACACACACACACACACACACACAATACCTCACGCAGTTTCACCCTGTAGCTTTTGTAATTACGCCCGAACAAAGGAGATGTTCGTCTGACACTTGCCGACAAGATTATCCAGGGACAAGTATAATATAAGCCAATGCCTCCATCGTCACAAGATAACCGACAAAAGTAGTACTTCACTCCTGCAGGATCCATACATTAACTTAGGAACAGCATTATTAACATGTGCCAGCAGATCTTCACCTTCAAGTGTCATCACATGAGGTTTATGCCAGTCCCTTGCCAAAAGATCAAGGATAGACAGAAGCAGTTTCTTCGACCCATTCTAGACTGGCTGTGCCCAGTTAGGCCTTGCAAACGCAAGATAGAAGGCCAACAACGTCCAGACCATCCCTGTGATACTTGCTTGGCCTGGTGATTCACAGCAAGAGAACGGTATGAACCTAAACCCCTGGAAGTAATCAACAGATCCGAGATAACATCTTGAACGAGCATTCAAGATGGGTCAGTCAGGCAACTCCGGGTTAGAGACCGACTGGGCACGTCCAAACCAACGATGCCCGTGCCCACCAAAACACCGTGAAGCTCACGGTGGACCAACCCTGCAGCATAGTCGCGCGACTAATTGCCTGCGCAGGGCTGGCCTCGGCCTAGAATCCCAGGGCCTATGCGAGGCTGGTGTCCCTCGAAAGCTTCGACGTGCGGTTCCTCTCTCCTCGGAGCCTCCACAAGGCAAAGATGCTGATCAAGGCGGTGACGCTATTACGACTCTTATCCAACGGGAGGAAGAACATGCCCGCATACGTCTAGGTCATGTGCGAGAATACCAGGTCCATGTTCACCATCCTGTTGAACGACCCAAGTCGATAGAGATACAGTTTTGTCATGTTGATGACGAGGATGAGCTCTGAATTCAGCATAGAGCAAACCTGCCTTCATCAGCAGACCAGTACACACTGCATTGACCTTGAGGACGACATCAGATAGCAATATAGCATTTTTCCCTGGATGAATATACTATCAATAATGCCTATTGATAAATGATACGAATATATTGACGAATTTACTACATGCTTGATGTTAACTGTTATTTAATTGCAAATGAAACAACTCCGTACACTCCATATGATGCTGAGGCGGTTACCTGGACCGATTCACCCTCCGACCTTCTCCTTGTATTTTACGTGCCGATTTCATATGAGTCTCAGGACAACCTAACGGTCGTGTAAGCAAACGAATCTGCTCTCAAGAGCATCAAGTGCGCGAGTAAACAAAAGGGGTGAGATCACCAATGCCGCCTTCATCTCCGCGGCGGCGAAAAGAATACTGTCGTATTCCGTGCAATGAGGCCCAATGACGATAGATTGGGTGCTCGCTATTGACCATCGATTGTTGGTATCTGAAATGCAAGTTGGGACACTTCAGAACGTGGTTTGTCTCGATGTTGAGGTTGGTTCTACAACACAGTACCCGGAGCATTGGCCGTCTGAAGGGCCATCTTATATGCCCAAGATCAGGGAAGTAGATTAGGTTGAGATAATTGCTCTATTGGGCCTTGCCATTCTTTGACTTGAACTTATCGATCTCGACCTGGACTTTCTTGTTGACACGAGATCGGAGCTCTGGTCGGTATCCGAACTTGAAGAGTATCTCAAGCCACACAAACATAGGGGCAAGGAAGATAGCCTGGATGAGGTTGTCGAGCAAGGCAGGGGCACGCCCTTCATATTTACCATGACCAATAAACTGGAAGATCCAGCAGACAACATGGATAGCCAGAGCACCCTGAAAAGTTGTGTCAGGGTTTTGCTGATGGAGGTAGTTGCAAAGTGCTGCACCCCCCATGCAGAAAAGAGCCAGAAGGAAGCCCGCAAAGGGCTCTAGGAGCAGATAGAGCAAGGAATAAAGGCTGGCACCAATGACACCAAGGTTGAGATCCAGATAGGGGGGAGTGATCCAAGATGGTGTAGGAATGAGAGTGCCGGTGTATGTGGCCTGAAGAAATGTCAGATGGAGTTCTAGTGAGAAGGCAGATGCAGAGCAACGCAACGTGCATAAGCCGGCGAGGACATAATGAGACGAACCATACAGAACCCCGATAAGAGGATGAGGGGGACGCAAACCATGTGGATGGCGACATTAACCGAGTTATGGTGGTAAGCACCATACTACCGTATATTAGTATGATTTTCGACACATGATAAATACTCTAGGTAGCGTGTCGAAATGTGACTTACAAAGGTGAGGTGCTGTTCAAGATCCAGAGACATGATGAGTAAGGGCCCCCTCAACAGAGACGATATGAGAGTTGTGGCAGACTGAGGGTGAAAGAGTGAGGAGACAAGAAGCCTAGGTAGGTATCAAGTTGCTTTGAATTTGATAATTTGACGAGCGATGAACTCGGCTTGACGTGGTCCGTGAGCTGCTGATCTATGCAGTTTGACGATTTCTGAGGCTACAGTTGTGGATCTGAGTCCAAAAAAGAAGAGATTGAGGGCGACCGAATGGAAGTTTGCGGGAGGAAAGGATGCTTTGTTGTGATGGATGAATGATCAAGATGATTACAACTTGGGTAGGTGTACCTAGTAGGTAGGTATCTTGGTAGTAGTCAAGGTGATTGATTGATTGTTTGTTACCTCGAGGTATCACAGTCCGAGACGGGATGACCCCCTTCCCGTGGAGGTTCGTTTGATGCAGGAGGTGCGTCCGTCAAATCAGACGGGCTGCAAAGGCTTGAAAAGGCAGGATCCCGCAGTACCTAATAAAGAATGAGTGGAAGAAAACAAGGCGAGCCAAGAAACAAAAAATTGGCAAAGGCCGAAGACAACGCGGGTGTGGTAGTTATGGCACGGCAGGCACAGTACGGTAAAAAGAGAGTGAGTGAGTGAGTGGCTTTCTACAGTGATGAGTTGTTCGTTTTCATGTGCTTTCCATTTTTGCGAGCCTGTGTCCACTGGCTGCTAACTCCCTTACCACTTCTGATTCTCAACTCCCCTACCTAACCTGATAAAGACCCGCTTGAATGCACCGCCGCAGCTGCTCGGGGTGGGTCCCAAGTCCGTATGTAGGTACGTACAGTAACTTCCATTTTGGAGCTCCTTTCTTTCACCCCTTGCCCCATGTCCACTATGCCTTCCAAGTTCCAGCACGTCTCGTGCTTGTCTCCTTGACTTGGGTGATTGCGCCTTACATCAAACAGAAGCCAGTCAATGTCGGCAAGGAATATACGAAGTCTCATTGTATTGGTCAGAAAACTCATCGCCCTTGTTTATTCCCCAGGTTTTAGAATTTTGGTGCCGATTAATATCTCAAGAGGAGGACGGAGGACAAGGTTCGGAGAGGCTTCCATTCGCTTCCCTCGAATCGTACCACATCCCATCCGGGTTTTGTTCTGTCTGGAAGACTCCGGTTGGGAGACTTAGACTAGAAGCCGAGGCCGAAACCTCCACTCAAGACCTCCTGTATGCCTCTGAGTGATAATCATTCCGCCTGATGGGCCATGGTCTGCTGGAGAATTACTCTTTGGCAGATATTCTTACTTTCAAGCACCTTACCTCCTCCGCCGGTCTGTATTGAAGCTTTCATCAATGGAAACTCTCAGCCAGCCAAGTTGACACTAGGTGTTTTGTGAGCGTATGATAGGGGGACCAGTCATCTTTGGTTCGAAGCAGCACCTTCATACTGTTACCTACAAACGAATGAATAAATTTCAAAATGCCTCCTCATACTAAAATTCCGCATTGAGTACGTATCCGAAAATGATATCCTCTAGAATCTCATGTCGTTGAGGTTCAGGTGTGACAAGGCAGCAGCTATGGCTTAGACGCCACACCTGTGGCTGAAAAGCCCACGAACTTTGATTGGACAGGTATTCTAGCAGCGCATGGGCCAGCTCAGCCTCGTCGATTTCATTGTCCAAACTTCCACCTCATTTGGCAGTCTTTCACCCAAGGAACAAACAACCTCCCTCTGCGCTCGCGTCAAGAAGGTCAGCAGTCATATTTTGACTTGACACGTCAGGGCCTCTCTCTTAATATACTGTTTCCTCTCGTCTCTCTTCAGCGAGCGATCCGCAACTCCTCGGCGCGTTTCATTTCTAAGCCCACGCCAAGCTGTCACTACGTCTCGTTCCTTTTCGTACGCGCTTTCGCCCGTTGCCCTCCCTCGATCGATCGCAGAACTCTACGAAGCGGTAGTTATTAGCTTAATCTCTCGCTTGATCGAATACACACCCGTTTTCCTGCTCTAGTCGGCCATCGAACGTATTGCGATATCGCAACTTGACAGCCAACCGAAACCGCCCATTCGCTCACCATCGATATCTTCGCTTCTCCCCGAAATCGCTTTTCACCATGTTTTTTCTTTATAATTTGGAGCGCAAGGTCACCTTGCACCCTTCTTTCATGGGTCGCAACATGCATGACCTCGTGACCGCGAAGCTCTTGAAGGATGTTGAAGGCACATGCGCTGGCAGCTACTTCATCATTTCCATCATGGACGCTTTCGAAATATCCGAAGGACGAATCCTCCCCGGTCTTGGTATGGCTGAATTTACTGTCGGATATCGTGCCGTAGTATGGCGGCCATTCAAAGGCGAGACGGTAAGGCCTTCACTGCCGAGGATTAATGACCTAGGAGTCTGACTTCAGTCAGGTCGATGCAGTTGTGCACTCTATAAACCCGCAAGGTTTCTTCGCCCATGCAGGACCTCTGCAGCTGTTTGTTTCAGCCCATGTATGTCATCACATAGCTGTGATGTAGTATTCTCTAACCCTTACTATAGCTGATTCCTAGTGATGTGAAATATGACCCCAATGCGACGCCACCTCAGTTCACAAACAACGAGGATACCTCTATTGAGCCCCAAACCCACGTTCGCGTCAAAATCATAGGAACTCGAACAGAGGTTGGAGAAATGTGGGCTATCGGTAGCATCAAGGAGGATTACTTGGGGTATGCTGACGGCTGGTCAATATATTTGCCTTTCTTTGCTAACGGTGATCTCAGATGCCTCCAAGCTTCTTAAGTTGGGCGTGGTACTGGACGGAGTGGGAACCAAGAAACCAAAGCCTCTAAACAAATAGGCGATTCTACAACAGCAGCCAGCCCTTCTATACTGGATGCAGCAGCGAAAGCAACTCAAACGAAAATCTATCAATCATCACCTTAGGGAGGAGACAAACCCGCTGAATTGACGACAATAGAGCCCGCAGCAGGAGAGTCGGGTCGACGCGCCGAACAGTCACTGTTCCGGGGCACGTACAATCTATTGGTATAGAAGGTGGTCAAGATTACATTGACCGGAAAATTGAACATAATGGATACAGTTTGCTATAAGGAAAATGAATTCTTGTTTCTGTCAGATTTAGACAGCGAACAATAGACAATTACACGCAAGTTTGTAGTTTGCAAATAAGACAATAAAAGCAAAGATACCCGATAACGCTCCAAGTTATATGCGCCCTATGAGTGAAGCCACCCGCCCTACAATAATAAGTCTCTCTGGCAGCCAATTGCAAGTTGTAGAGATAGGCGTCGGCTTCCTGAAGCAGCTTGATCTCCCCCACGAGACCCCGCAATCGAGAAGCTCCCCGCTGAGGAGCTGGAGACGGAGAATGGGGGGTCTCCGGGGAAATGTCTGATATTTGTCGTATAAATTGGGTTCTCGGAGGGTACTTCCCCGAGAACATTGGCTTTCTGCACTATCTATGACCATTATACGAGGGAAAAACGAGACAACATGAGTAGAGTATGGACTTCAGCAACCCTCCGGTTACGACCGGCCTTGACGCCCAACACGTTACAACCAAGGGTGGTAACCAGAAACATGTCTGGATTGTCTGCTATGCAGGCATCTAATAGATTACGGACAGCTCTTCTGGGGGGAAAGAAGGCATTTGGCGCTTGGCAGATGCTTCCCGGCGCAAACGTGTCGCGAGTATTGGCAAGGTCAGGAGTTGATTGGGTCTTGGTAGACTGCGAGCATGGGAACTTGGACGGTAAGTTGGACCTATAATGGGATAGTTGAATATAGGCCTAACATACCCAGATGGTGCCATGCACGATGCTGTTCCTGCAATTGCGGCTTTAGGGGTTTCGCCCATTGTGAGATTGCCTGACATGCAAGGATGGATGGTAAAGCGTAAGGCTACAGAGACATCTATGCTTGGGAACTCGTTGACATTTCTCAGGTGCACTCGACAGTGGAGCTCATGGTGTAAGTTACTATCTCTCTGAAGCTATGCCAGGTTGCTCACTAGAAAAAGATTGTTGTGCCCTTGCTGAGAACGCCTGAAGAAGCGAGACAACTCGTGCAATCTGCCAAGTTTCCGCCTCTAGGCCGTCGAGGTTTCGGTTCACCAATTGCCCCAGAGCGATTCCATCCTGAGCCTAGTTTCTCGGAGTATCTTCAGCAGGCAAATGATTCTCTCTTGACCATTGTTCAGATTGAGACCAAGGAGGCACTAGAGTCTATCGACGAGATTGCTGCCGTTGATGGCATCGATGTGTTATTCATTGGACCGTTCGATCTTGGTACGTCTCCCAGAAATTACTAAGTTGACCCAAAGGAAAAGTATTAATTGGCAACAGGAAACGCCCTCGGCCATCCCATTATCGAAGGAGTCATGGCCACGGAACTGAAAGACGCCATTGCTAAGATCCTTGCTGCGGGTCAGAAAGCAGGCAAAAAGACAGGCGTATATTGCACAGGGGGCGAGCAGGCAAAGATATACGCTGATCAGGGGTTTGACATGATGAATGTAGTAACCGATTATACGTCCCTGGGACTGGTAGCCAAAGAACAGCTCAGCTTCGCTGACGGAAGCTTGGCACCAGCCAGAGGAAAGGGGTATTGATGCGTGCCGCAATGAGAGGTTAGCTTTTCTCTGCTTTGTCCATTTGAGCTTCGACTTGCTCGGCAGTGAATCTGTGCATCAATTTGATTGCTTTGCCCACTTTGCTTGGCTCTTCTTCAGGCGCGGAGGCTTTACTGATGTGAATCTGCGTCATGTGGATGTTAACAAGAACTGAAGTGTCTTTAGGTGAGTATTTCTGCTGACCACTGGGACATCAAAGTCATATATGTCTCTCCATTGCTTTGACTCAAGCTTCGGGAGATCAACATTAACCTCTGTATAGTCAAAGGGTCTCTTATCCCAAACATCTGACAATACATGCTTAGCTTGGGTGCAGAGACCACAAGTTTCCCGAGTGAAGAAGGTAATTCTTGTTGAAAAGAGAAGACGACGAGTAGCAAACATGGTGAAGAGATTGGAAGAGCCTCGTGGAGGATTCTCAATGGCCCGGTATATAAAGGCAATTCCGTCTTGAAAATGGCCTGAGATTGAGTTAGATGAGACGCATGCAACCCCGTCCAACTGCATGAGCAAATCATATGTGACCCCGCATCGAAATAGGAAAGCGGTGAGAATATAGCTCTGTTTCCATCGTCATCGCCTCCACGGCAGAGCTTGAATTCTAGAAGCTCCCACCCCACCGAAGTCCGAGTCAAATACTCCTTTCTCTTCCTTCTTGGACAATCACAAAACTGTCAATTCTTCTTGTGGAGTGCAGACCTTATACTACTACTTGCGAGATGTCTCAAAAATGTGTTCATCAAGGTTGCGGGAAACAGTTTACCGATCCAGATGAGAAGTGCGAGTACCACCCTGGTCCGCCCATTTTCCACGAGGGGCAGAAAGGTAGGGTGATCTGGCAGAGCAGATGCTGTTTTATTAACCTGCCATTGTGCATTGCATTGCATAGCATACTAACTAACCTTGAAAAGGATGGAAATGCTGCAAGCCTCGCGTCTTGACCTTTGACGAGTTTATGGATATTCCTCCTTGTACGACTGGCACACACTCAACCACCGACAAGCCGCCTCAGCTTGAGGAGAAACCCCAGCAGGATGATGCTGCCCTCGCCCAGAAGATTGATGCTCTGAACGCCGCCACTCCGTCTCGCGCACCGATTCCAACTGCCCAGCACGCTCCTACGCCACCTCCACCTGCTCCCGAGTCGGAAGATGATGACCCCAGCCTTGAGATTGCGGACGGTGTTGGCTGTAAGAGAAGGGCATGCGGCGCAACATACAAGAAGGGTAGCTCAAGAGATGACGAGGAGTGTGTTCACCACCCAGGAGTACCAATCTTCCACGAGGGGAGTAAGGGATACTCCTGTTGCAAGAGGCGAGTGTTGGAGTTTGATCAATTCATGAAGATCGAGGGGTGCAAGACAAAGAACAGACACTTGTTTGTCGGCAGTGGTAAGAAGGATGGCGCCAACAGTGAGGAGGTCGTCTCCAACGTCAGGTGAGATCACGAAACAAAACCGCGGTCAAATGCTATGATTGGTCGTGCTAACAGTTATAGGCATGACTTTTACCAGACCCCAGTCAATGTTATTGCATCCTTCTTCTTGAAGAAGATCGACAAGAGCACAGCCAAGATCGAGTTGCAGCCAAAGCAACTTAACCTGGACCTTACAACAACCGACTCGCCTCCCAAGCGCTATACCGCCGAAGTCCCTCTCTATGCGTCGATCGACCCGGAGAAGTCATCGTATAGAGTGCTCGGCACGAAGCTAGAATTCGTCCTCGCCAAATCTGACGGCACCTCGTGGCCAGTGTTGCGAGGAGACGAGGCCCTGACAGGCGAGATTCTTCAGGTCGGCCGTGCTGGAAGGGCTTGATGAGAGACGTGAGTTATGAGAAGACATGAGAATGAGCATAATATGGAGTTTATGTGATCGATATGGCGTTGATGAGAATTTAGACGAGACGAGACGAGACGTCGTGTCTCGCAAAGGTGTTGAGAATTAAGAATGGACTAACGATAGCGAGGTAGAGACAGACCATGGAGCATCGGCATGAATTGAGATTAACATCCATAACAAAAACTTCTCACACAAGTGTTCTTTTGAGTTGATCTGAGATGATCATTTCCTTTTCCACATGAATACCTGCTTCGCTCGAATCTTTGTCCTTTTTGGCGTTGACTTTGTGAAGGGCTGGCCACTCGAGTTTGCAAATGACACAACTGAGCAAGTGACCCAGCCGTTGCTTGAAGTGACTGCTCCCTTACTTTTAGTTACGTTTTAATACCGAGAAATCCTCCAGAAACCCTGCATTGTGGTGTTTCATCATGGGTCTGGAATGATAGGCGGTGGAACCAATATGGAGGATAATGCTGACTAGTTTACTTTAGATTTGCCAGAACCAACAACCACATTACCTCACGTCTTCCCATTGTAGCTTTAAAATATGTTCTGATTCCTCGTATCAAGGCCCTTTTTGGGTTCCATCCCTATCATTTCTTCTTATTAAGCGCTCATATGTCGTGATAAGCAATCATGAAGTATTCATTACTGGCCTGTATTGTCAGTGCAGCTCATGCCTCAACACTACAACTGCGAGAGGATGCTGCACAAATAGCTCGGAATGTTTCGGGGTTCACGGCTTACGATGTTTTGAATTACACCAAAGCTGATTCTGACGATGCCTGGGAATTGGAAGTTCCTCTTCGTATACTCTGTGTCGGAGACTCTATAACAGAGGGTTGGGGAAGTGATGCAGATGGCGGCTATGGGAATGGTTACAGGCTTTCTCTCGCGAAACATCTATCACGTAAGTTGCTTCTTGATTATCTAGTGTGATCTTGATAGACGGGTATACTAACATTGACCCGAGGAGAAAAGGTTGTCTTTGCGGGCACAAGACGCAAGGGTTCTATGGAGGACAATTATTATGTGAGACTACCTAGCCATTGAACGACGATACTACGCTTATACGTATTTATTAGGCGGCCTGGTCTGGCAAGACAATTCAGTATATAAGCGACCACATCACAGAGTCGTTGGAACAGAGACCTAATCTTGTCCTCCTACACGCTGGAACGAATGACATGGATTTACGACCTTCGATCTCCAAAGAAGGAAATGACCCCAAAGATGCTGCAGCTCGTCTCGGCGACCTCATTGACAAGATTGTTAGGTACTGCCCGGATGCAGTAGTCCTCGTCGCGATACCTTTGGCATCCTGTGACACTGAGAAACCCAAGATGCCCATTTACAGAGCCCTGATCCCTGGACTTGTACGACAGCGACGAAAGGATGGCGACCATGTTATTGCCGTGGATTTCAGCACATTTGATCTGGGCGAGTTGAGAGACTGCTTGCATCCTACAAATGAAGGCTATAGCATCATGGGGGACTATTGGTATGACTTTATAACACAGGTGCCAAAGGGATGGTTCAAGGAGCCTGTTGGTGATGACCCAAAGCGAGAAGAGAATGGGGTTGGAAGACTAGTCCTGCCAGACAGGATGTCTATTTTGGGTATTGGTTTGTACTGGGGCTTGTACCGTATGTGTTGGGTATAGAAATTTGGGTTCCGTATAAACTAGATATTTTAGACATAGATTACGTTTGATAGAGTTGCTATATTACTGCAAACGGTTTGCGTTAGGCTGTCAAGACATGGAATATCGAGGTTGACGAAGCTGAGAGCTTGACTTGCAACAAGTCAAAACATCCAGGATGTGAATGAATAGACTGGATAACCAACATCACAATTACATCAGAGACCATCAGAAGAGCACGTTCTTCGAGCACATTCCTGCTGAATCATACTCAATTGTAAAGGCCGGTTTCATCCACAATTGGGCTGGCTGGCTGAAAAGAAAGATCCCACCCAACCTGGCGAATACAAATGCAGGGTCCCTGATAAGACGGGATACTTGACCCGTGGTCGTGGAAATGAGAGGCATTGGATGATCGATAAGTTGAACGAACCCGTTCTCCCCCACATTAAATCAGCAAATTCCGATACGTAAACAGGCAACGCAAGGCGGCTTCTAACTGGTTGCTCTCGATTTAACCATCAGCACACCCTACTGTCGCTCATCGCACGTGCTTGGCGCCTAGATCTCAAATGCACTGTATCAACCCGCATTTAGCGACCTTACACCACAGTTTAATTGTTTTTAGCGGTCTTCCAGGCGTCCCTGGCGAACCTCTAGGGGGGGTTGGTGGTGCGGACTGATAAGACAAAGTCCATTTGAGTGATAGTGATATCGGGCGGCAGCCGATAGATAACAGCCCTGCCGTGGTTTTCTCATGATGCCATGTATCTCTTATCAAAGACGTCTCAGGCACACAAACAAGCTTAACCTGATGGCTGTGCTGCCCGTCCGGCCGATGACGGGATGGGTGCTATAAGTTGTCGCCATGCCCTGGAGCCACGCTGACGCCTGAACGGCTGTCTTTTATGTCAGGCTCGACGTTATAAACTCTACTCTACTCTACTGCCGACTCAAACTCCCTGCACGCATCATAGACTCCTGTTTTCTTATCAGTAACCATGTCCGCTGAAGTCTCCCACGGTCGCGGCGGCGCAGGCAACTTCAAGCCTGATGATACCGAGTATGTCGACGGCGAGGTTGTTCGAACTGGCGTTGTTGGAAGCCACGGTGATGGCGCGTACAGTTCTGGTCGTGGAGGCAAGTCATTACTAGCATTGTACCTTTCCGCAATGTCCTGATGTTGCATTTACACAACACACCATCAACTGCCACAGATCTCAGACAAGTCGCTAATACAACTTCATCAGGTGCTGGCAACATCGCTGACATAGGCACACCCGCCACCGAGCGCAAGGATGTGGACATCATCCCCGAGACTGCTGTCCGACCAAGCCAAGATGGCCGAGACTACCATACCGGTCGTGGAGGTGCTGGCAACGCGCAGACCGCAGGTTCTGAGAAGGAGTCTGAGGAGCACGAGAAGCCTGCGTTCAAGACTCCTGTTGGTCTTGCTGACAAGCTCAAGTCCAAGATCTTCGGCCACAAGAAGTAGGCTTAGGCTGTTGGGTTGTCTGTGATAAGTCTCGAATTGCGACTTGATCTTGAGGAGGCGGGGATTATCGTTCTCAGGTTGCGTTATTGTTGATATTGGTTATTGTGGAAATACCCCTGATGCCATACTGTTCTTCTGAATAATTTGAATTCCATTGTGTCGCTTGCTTTATCGCGCAATGCGCAAACATCCATGTGGGATGATACCTGACAACCTAGTGTGGATGGGTGGTTCATGACATGGTCAAATGTAACGCACCCCAGCTTTCTGATATTTCTGTGTCTGACCTGCATTCCTTGCTCAAATAAAGATCTGACAGCTGCTGGCAGCGTTTTTGCTGGAGATTGAGTCAACTCATTGAGAAGTAAGTAGAAAAGAACATGCAAGAATGTACCGCATAGCGCATGCATGTGCGAAACCCTCCTCCAAGTTGGGCTGCCATGACGTTATTCCACTTATCAAGGATCATCCTCGATAGTCTTCCATTAACCCCATGCTCCACTTCCCCTCATTTCTAGCTTCTTTTAATGGGCATTTTGGAAATGAAACGAGTCGACAAGCTAGGTAGGTAGCAACTTAGCAAGCTCAGAGATCCCTCGGGCAGCGGAGTGCCCGTGTCTCCGCTAAAGAGCAAAACAAGCTGAAAAGAGAAACATGATATTCCAGGATTGGCTCTCTGACCTGTGGACTCTGGAGTTCCAAGCCCCAAGCTAAACCAATTTGGCGTCCAACAAACCCATCTCTGATCTAAGAGAAACTAGAAGTCTGCAAGCACCTTGTTAGTGCTCGAATGGCCCTTAAAAGACCCTGATAAGGGCCTGAATAGTTCATGGATCGTCACAGATAGCCTTGATTAAGCCGGCTCGCAGCGATCTTATCCAAAGAGTGACCCAAACATGGCGAATAGGCATCGTGATACCCCGTCGTGATTACAGTATGGTCTCGTTAGTCCTCTTTCGCATGGGAGGGGCGCATAAGTTGATGGGATGAACAAGATGTGACGGTAATGGCCGCGGCCCTTGGCTTCTGGGTGCCAGCCATGACTTAAGAATACGACGATGCGCAGTACCCTTAACAACTGTGAGTCTTTTCTTGTTACCCTGTTCTCTTCTCATCACTATATAATCGATCGACAAAACCGTGACTGTCGGCGTCCACGTATCCATTGTCTTTCAACGCTTGCTGGCAGAGTACATGGCGCACTTCAAGACCTATCGAGAGCAGAAGCCTCTCTTTACTAATCCAAAACCGTCTGCAATCTCGTGAGGAAAACTGTCTGGTGTTGAATGCGCCTGGGGGAGACTCAGGCTCACCAGTCTTGGCCTTGTGACGACAATCACGTGCACCCAGTGAGATCACGAGTGCGACATACCTCTCATCATGGCGCCAAACCTTCAACCTCTTCCTCAGCGTCCACGTCTCCAAGACCATAGACCGTGGTCCGGACTTTCTAACATTTCGAAACGATCCTTTAGATCTTGCGCAACTTCTGCTTTCGAGGCCGACGACGAGCGATCCTCTAGCGACGGCGATATGAGCCCTCGCAATAGCCAAGCGGACGTGCGACGGCCGATCGTACCGCGTCACTCTGGCCATGATGCTCGTCCAACGAGTCGAAAGGAGCTTCTAGGGTGGTACGCCTATGCATTTGCGGCCGAGACGTACGTAATTTGTGGAATTGGTAGGTTATTAACAGTGAAGCAATATCTCTGGGCTACCTACCCGGAGATCGCCAAGGCCCATTACTGATACGCATGCTCCAGCTTCCTTTATCCCCATCCTTTTAGAGACTCTTGCCAGAGAGAACGGTGTGCTCGTCTCTGACCGGAAAACACCATGCGGGTCCAGCGACAGTAAGAAAGAGGGGGACGGACAATGCGTTGTCTGGGTATTTGGAGTAGAAATCAACACTGCGAGCTTCGCCATGTACACATTTTCAGTGAGCGTCTTGATTCAAGCACTGCTCGTTGTCAGCATCAGCTGCGCTGCTGACCATGGAAACTACCGCAAGAAGCTTCTTCTCAGCTTCGCCTGGATTGGAAGCTTCGCCGTCATGTCTTACATCTTCATTACAAAAGACAACTACATTCTCGGCGCCCTCTTGACCGTCATCTCCAACACATCCTTTGGCGCATCCTTTGTATTACTGAACTCTTTTCTTCCGCTGCTTGTGCGATACCATCCCGATGTTATCGGGGTCAACGTTGCTGAGACTCCAGATCTTGCCAATTCTGAATTTGAGTCACGGCCTTTGGATGACTCGGTGGGTGAGCTCCAGGCGTCAAGAGTCACGACAACATCACCTCTGTTAGATCCTGAAGACGGCGAGCGACTGAAACCAACAGCAAGCCATGCGGAAATCACTTCCAAGGAATTGCAACTGTCAACGCGGATCTCAGCCATCGGAATTGGTACCGGCTATATTGCCGCGCTCTTCCTGCAATGCATCTGTATTGCTGTTCTCATAGCCATGCATAACACCACATGGGGCCAACGAGTGGTATTATTCATGGTCGGACTTTGGTGGACCATCTTCACTATTCCGGCCGCCATGTGGTTGCGGCCCCGCCCCGGGCCTCCGCTGGCTGATGACGGCCGCAAAGGCATCATGGCAGGACTTGCGTACATATTGTACGCATGGAAGAGCCTATTCAAAACCGTCCAACAGGCTAGACGCCTTCTTGATATCGTTTTGTTTCTTGCTGGATGGTTTCTCCTGTCCGATGCGATCGCAACCACGTCATCTACCGCGATTCTATTCGCCAAAACCCAACTCCACATGAAGCCGTGGGCGCTCGGTATGATAAATGTCATTTCAACTCTGGCAGGGGTATTCGGCGCCTTCGGATGGTCGTGGATCTCACGGCTCTTTAACCTCCAAGCCCATCAAACCATTCTTGTCTGCATTGCTTTGTTCGAGCTGATCCCCCTTTACGGCTTGCTGGGCTACCTTCCCTTTGTCAAAGAATGGGGCGTATTTGGCCTCCAACAACCCTGGGAGATGTATCCACTGGCGGCTGTATATGGAGTCGTGCTCGGAGGGTTGAGTGGTTACTGCCGCTCTCTGTATGGTGAGCTTATTCCACCCGGATCCGAGGCAGCTTTCTACGCTCTGTACGCCATAACGGACAAGGGATCCAGTGTCTTTGGTCCGACGATTGTCGGTGCTATCATTGATAGAACTGGCACGATTCGCCCGGCTTTCTGGTTTCTGGCAGCATTGGTTGGCCTTCCTGCGCCATTGATCTGGTTCATCAACGTCGAGCGCGGTAGAAGAGAAGGCATGAAGCTCGCCGAGTCAATGGCAGGATCTCTGGTGGAGGAAGCAAACGACGATGAGCATGAGCCCGAGCGTCGTGGAATGCTGGCCGACTATCAGAGAGAGCAGGAAGATGGTACTGTCGATGAACAGGCAAGACCCTAGGTCAGATGGCTGTTGATTCTTGGATGGACAAGGTAGCATAGCGGCGGCGTTTACTTAGATGATTGGCGATATCATAATTTGGCTACGATTTATAAGTGGTAGACAACGAACTAAATTCAGCAATGTCAATACCTCAACTCAAGCAATATACCACAGTATTTTTCTTTCTGCTTAGGAGCTGGGCGCGATCTCTGTACATACCATCTAATATGAGGCAAGGTGGCGAGGAACAACGCGTGAGCTTTATAAACTATTGGACCGGAGTTTCTAGAAGCAGACTTCCCTGCACGGGTTTCCGGGGCCCAAGTTTACGCTCAATGTAACGCAAACGCGCCTGCATTTTCTCTCTCTCTCACTCTATCCCCTCACTCTTCTTGTTGCTTTCCACTGAAACACACAAGCTCCATTCAACAAACAACATTGACTCTTCAAAACTTTACTACACTTGCTCCTCACCCACCCAATCGCTTTCATTACCCTTTTATCAAAGCTACCATCGATTTTCTCCGAAAACCCAAACTGAATCGCGCCAAGACTCCTTCACCCTGCGCCTCTACTAAAGCTACCTACGCTACTAAGCCAAGGCTTGTCCAGACGCGTTGACTAACGCTGGGCGCTAATCGCTCTTCCGTACCTAGGTAGGACTGAACTCCGTCCATAAGCTTAGGTGGCCCCAGTGCCAGCTCGGTCACGTGACGCAAGTCTTTTGGGCTTTTGGCTCAGTTCTTAGTTCTTCCGCAGATTGCGACGTTGCTCTCCCAGACAAATCGAGTCTCTTTCGTTGCGCACAGGACATCATCGCAAGCCGCGGCTTGTTGCTCAAACGCAGCTTGGGCTCGGCTCAGCACAGATCGCGACATCGAAAAACCCAGATAAACCAATCCTCTCTTCCATTTCTATATAACCTTTTCTTCCATTCCCGCGTCGCTTCTTCGCGCGCCTTGTCGTTCATCTGCAAACCCCTCCTTCTCTCCACTCCCGACGCGGTCATACCCAACCGCATCAAACCGCCACAATGAGCAATCGCAAGAGATCGCGATCCGTCGGGGAGGAGAATCGCGCTGAGTGCCCTTTCACGATTACTTACGCGACTGGCCCTGCGGCTACTCAGGCGGATCGTCAAAAAAACAAGAAGCGGAAGCGCGATGGCCAAGATGACGACAAACGGGTCCAGATTCAAATCTCCCCCTTCTCCCCAACGGGCAGTTTCAAAACGCACGAGAACATGGACTTGTACTACACTGTCGAACCAGGGAAACGATGGCAAGATATGACGCGCTACAACAGCTTCGTCCGTAAGTATCCGATGAATTCTCGGCGCCGTCCGTTGTACGGGCTTATGGCTAACTCTTGGCAGTCAACAGTGTCAAATATTACAGTGAAGGCTTTGTCAATGTTGCCAACGAGGTAACGATTGAACAACAAAAGGCTCAAGGTGACGGCAAGGGTATTTACAAGAAGAGCAACAATGACTGGGTCGCGCGTATTCTCGAGATCCGTGCTTCCGATGAGCACCACGTCTATGCACGTGTCTATTGGATGTACTGGCCGGACGAACTCCCGTATGGAACACTCGACGGCAAAAAGACCGTTCAAGGCCGCCAGCCGTACCATGGCAACAATGAGTTGATCGCCTCTAATCATAGTATGTTCCAGATTACTGACCAACATTACACTGAAATGATGCGACTAACCCTTCTCTAGTGGACATTATCAATGTCGTCAGTGTTACAGGACCCGTCACCGTCAACCAATGGATTGAGTCAGATGACGAGGAGATCCAAGACGCGCTTTATTGGCGTCAAGCGTACGACTGCCGCAACATGCAACTTTCGGTATGTCTCTCGATATCTCATTTAGTTTCCGAAAGTACTGATGACCATCTAGTCTGTTGAGCTCATGTGCAAATGTCAAACTCCTGCGAACCCTGACAAGACCCTGATTGGGTGCACGAGCCCGAGTTGCGGGAAGTGGATGCATCACGAATGCATGGCGCACGAAATTCTCATGCAAGTCTACGAGCGACTAGGAACAGATAAGCCCCATCGAACCGAGGGATCGGCCGTCAAGGAAGAGAAGCCCGAGGAGGCCACGCGCCCTCTATCGCCCACTGACGCAGGCGAGAAAGAGACACAGCCCACGATCGATGTCCGCTCCGGCGAAACGAGCGATAACGTCCACGTCAAAAAGACTGCTCGCGAAACACCTCGCGAAACAGAAACCCCTACACCTGGGCCAACGCCATCCCGGTCTATCACCACCGCATCAGCCAAAGGATCGGCCAAGAAAGGTCGCAAGAAGAAGGCTGCAGACTCCAAGCCATACCTGGGACTTTTCGAAGCCACTCTCAAGATGCAAGACGGCCCCACAGCATGGGAGATTCGCGACCTGCGCGAGAACGTAACGGGCGGTGACAAGACCTGGACCGAGAAGGCTCATTGTCTGCTGTGTGGTTCCAGCATTGACTAAGCATTCAATGTCATGACCACGTAGCTACCCCGAGTCTGCTCCGGTAAGCAGACTTCTTGAGTCTACAAGGTGCAACTCGACATTGCTTAGGGGGGCCATGTGGTGCCCTAACATGTTACTGATGACCTGCGGACAACATGGAAGGCCCGGCGCACCTGTAAACTCGATACGGCTCATGGGGATGGTCAATGGTTAAGGTTTCTTTTGTGAAAATTTCGATGTGACTTTCTTGGCGATTCGCCCACTGGTGGACATCACGGGCGCGGCGTTGGAGGCGAATATGGCTATGCTGTGAGATTGGAAGATGGGCTGGTTGGTCTTGGAACTTGCGCGCGGTGAGGAAGATGCGTTTGTTTTGCTATTATTTATTTATGATGTTCCAATTACATGCGACGCAAAAGAGCAGAGGTAGTATGATCTACTGGGCCGGCCGGATGGGTAGGGGGAGAGAGCCTGGAGACCTGCCGACTGAGAGGGAACTCGGGAAGTAGGTCGATTAGCTTATATTGGTACCGAGTTGGGTAAGGTAGAGATTATGGTGCTGGTGGTTACCTGCCTCTGGGCTGGGCTATAGTGTCATTTTGCTTTGCTAGGCATCATCATGGGTTTGTTGTTTCTTGAGAGTGTTTTTGTCTCCATTAATTGACTTTCTTTCCTTTTAACTTGCGGCTTCGCGGTCTTTATCAACTGGTGAAGAGTACCTAGGTATTAGTAGTGGAGGGTTTTATGTGGTGGGGTATTATTGCTTGAAACTGGTAGAAGCATCTCGGTATATGTCCAGATTCCTGCCGGTTATTAACCTACCTACATTGATCGATCTTTTGCAATAAACCTAACCTTCAATACACTCGTAACGGAATGTAAGGCTTCTCAGCCGGGAATAACTCGTAGGATCTAATCTTCCATGAGCTTATTAGCTACCACTTACATGGGCTCGCAGTACGTACTCCACCCGGAGCTCCATGACCCCGCCACTCCATACCTAACGTCGCAGAGCTTCACCTCCATCGACTTGAGGACCGCCTGAACTGCTAACGTTAGTGCCGCCTTCAGTACCTAAACAACCACAATCTTTCAATCTTGCACAGTCTCTCAATTACCGCAGCCAAAGCCCTCGAAAGTCCATGATCATGGCTGTCGATCCCTTTGACTCCGCTCTGTAAGCACTTCAGCCCTCCCGCGCAATGACGCCCTCCCCCGTGTCGCTGACCGTTCAACCCACAGGGACCTTCTCCGCCGTCTCAACCCTAAACAGACGACAGACCACCTCAACGCCATCATCTCCATCGCTCCAGATCTGACCGAAGACCTTCTGTCGTCCGTCGATCAGCCCCTAACCGTGCGCCGCTGCAAACAGACCGGTCGAGACTACCTCCTCTGCGACTACAACCGCGATGGAGACAGCTACCGCTCACCGTGGTCAAACCAATTCGACCCTCCTCTGGATGAAGCTGGATCAGGCGGCGTAGGCGCTGGTGGTAATGAAGGCGCTGGTGAGGGTGCGATTCCGAGCGAGCGTGTTCGCAAGATGGAGGTCAAGGCGAACGACGCCTTCGACGTCTATCGCGATTTATACTACGAAGGTGGTGTGAGCAGTGTTTACTTCTGGAACCTTGATGACGGATTCGCAGGGGTCGTGCTTCTCAAGAAGTGTATGAAGTTCCCCTGACAAAGTGCCATACTGTTTTTTGAACCGTCAACGCTGACTAGATATCCCCTTTTAGCTTCTCCCCAAGGCGGCAATTCCGAAGGTGTCTGGGACTCCATTCATGTTTTCGAGGCAATTGAGCGAGGAAGAAGCACACACTACAAGCTCACATCGACAGTGATTCTGACCTTGTCCACGGCTGGTGGCAACCTAGGCGAGATGGACCTTAGTGGCAACATGACACGCCAGGTTGAACAGGATCTCCCTGTTGACAACGATGATAGCCACATCGCCAACGTGGGAAGATTGGTTGAGGATATGGAACTCAAGATGCGCAATCTCCTGCAGGAGGTGTACTTTGGCAAAGCCAAGGACGTGGTGGGCGATCTCAGGAGCATTGGAAGCTTGAGTGAGGGGGCACGGGATCGCGAGGCTCAGCGTGAACTCATCGGAAGCATGAGAAAATGATGTGCGCCGAAACCGATTCACTCGATCGTTTGAAGAGCAAGACCCTCGATAGATTGTCTCGAGATACATGTACTGCACCGTGGTGGCATCCTGTGCGAGTATCGGCCTTTGATTGCACTAGGAGCGAGACTTGATAGATGTGCAGATTGATTGATATACTCATTTGCTTTCATCCAGCGTTTGTATTGAAGGACTCGTGGCCATGACCAGGACATGGCACATGATCCTTGGGCAGTGTCTGATCTCTATGGGGATGGAAGAAATCATATAAACATGCTTATGGGACTCTGAATCTCAGCACGATATGATAGCGCTAGTTCGGGTTTCATGAATAATTACATTAGTGCTCGATCGTAATCGAGCAGCTTCAAAGCCTCTTAACCGGCCCGCTTTCCCGTTACTCAAAGGCTTTTATCCGTAGATGACAATATATCGACACATCCGACATCCCAGTCAAGGCAGCCAGCTTTGGCACAACCTACTTGTAAGGGCTAGCACGATTAATTGATACGAGCCTGACCCTGGACGTCGATCAAGCTCTTTCCCCCAAGCCTATGGGCCTGCTGGCCTACCATGAACTCATGGCCATCGACCGAAGATAAAGTCAACCGCATGGGATGTCCGAACACCTAGTAGATGACTTCTTACCATGTGGGCTCTCAGGCTCAGGAGGACTACAGCTTACGAATATCTTTGCCCATATTAGTTCGCAGCTTTTCTTCGAGGAAGCCTTTAGCCCTATTAGACGACAAATAGTGGCTTATCATAGTTGCAGCATACGAGCACCGTGGTGCGCTAGGGTCGTGGATTCAGGACCTTCTGAGTCAGGTAGATGACATGTTCTGCACTGCCGTGGAAATGCACTGACAGGCTGCGTGGTTAGCAGAAACTTTGCCGCAGCTTCCATTCCACTGAGCCTGATGCCTGATGCATTCTAAGTGTCGAAGACATGAAGGATGGTCCACCCTTGACTCGAGATGGGCGTGAATTTGAGGCCTGGCTGAAGATGGGGAACGTGGTTGCAGGATGCAGTAGTCAGCCACTTTCATGTCAGAGATGATAGGCGGCAGTCTCAGAGACAATGAATCCTTGGTAGTGAGTTGAACAAGAGAATCAAGGAGACATGAACAAGGCGCTCAAACTCGTGGAACGAGTATGAAAGCCAGTAAATTGAAGCCATGTTGAACGGTGATCTGAGAGCGACAAGGATCACGATACTCTCGATTTCTCGTCTTTCCCATGTACTCCCTGGCCGGAAAAAGGTCTGTGTTGTGCGTCTGACATGCAGACAAAAGCTACGGATCTTAGGGCCATGGTACTCTATGCTAGCGCTCGGACTGGGCAATTGGTGTGTTGGCTCTATTTATTTATTAGGCGTTAGCGTTGAAGAGGCTCTAGGTTGAAGCCGTCTTGTAGTGTTGGAATATGGGGGAAAGATGATGAGACAAGGTCCTATTGACTGTGTGATAGGCCAGAAAGGAAGACGGAAGATGATAGCTCCTGATCATGATACCCTAAGGTGTTGTTGAGGTAGATATAGAATTAATATTGTTGATCACTGGATATTGTTTTCCATGTTCGCTGTGAAACTGGCTGTGCACTCCATTACCGGGCTACCAGCCAGTCAGGTGCTATAAGGCAGGTACTAACTTACATGAGATCGGTACCTAGCTCGTACCTGCCAAGGCCCAGAACATCGGTACAATAAAATCTGACTGAGAAGGCAGGCAGGCAGGCAGGCATGATGATAACTTCTGCGCTCTTGACACTTGGGCCGGTTGTAAGACTTTGAATGTTAAGGTATGCGGTTCAACTATCACAACCACTTTTTCACCATTCTAGCTACTACAATGGTCACCAATTCTTGTTTCATACCTCTTCTTTTCGTCATTGGTAGAGACACAAATGGAAGAATTCTAGAAAAGGCCCCGCATCATTCTGTTCCTGTTCCTGATCTTGTTCCTGCCGCTTGCCACATGCGTACATAACGGGACAGACGCGTGCTCTGCCCCTGGAATTCAGGTACCGTCAGTATAAGGCAGAACCGCAAGCCGCGAACCGTTGGCAAGAATTGGTTATTACACGTCCAGCCTTGGCGATGGTTGACTGACTGTCCAAGTTACAGTACATATGTATCGATACAGCGCCTCCAATTCTGTCTGGCAAAGATCAAGATGGCCCTGTTGGCGGCCCGAACGGGATCTTGGATCTGCGCACATGCCGGCACCCAGCACTAAAATCAGGTCTCTGGATTCCTGTACTCCGTATGCACAGGACGCATTAAGTCACAGTCAATATATCGTCCATTTCCCTACGAAGCAGTTATGGCTTGGTATCTGGAAGGATATCGACTACGACCTGCAACCGTCTGGCATCATAATATTCTTCAGTACTGTGGAATGACCAAAATAAGCCTCGTCGTTTATGTGTACTCGGAAATGACACCCAATGCGAGCATGATTTGCGCCATGCTGGACGCCAGATATGGATTTCAAGAATTAAGCGCCCTCGCCAGCCAAGTGCTGAGTTTTCTTTGACCCTCACCCATGGGGTAGTGAGTTTATTATCGTTCAACAGTATTGGTAATTACCACCCATGAGGTCAGTCTGACCAGATACTTTATGACTACTCACAAGCAGGCGAAACCGTCACCCGGTATATCTCTCAAACCAAAAGTTCCCTCACAGGCTCACAGTTCTCGATCGGCTCGACTTCAATTGTGTCAAGCTGTTGACAACTCGCAGAGTGAGTACAAGAAAATGCCAAAACCTAATAATGGTAGTCTCAGGCAAGGACGGAGGTTGTCATGCTCCTTGACCCTTGACCCCAGTCCCTTCTGTCGGCATGTCCCTGGTCCCTGCTCGCAGTGACAATGACGAACATGGAGGCCCACTGCAGGCTCGGTAGCTAGGTGCTAGGCCAGCGATGATGAACGGGGCATCCTGCAAATCCGTCCTGCAGCTCTGAATTAATTACAGTAATTGTCCAGCCGCATGACCGCCAATTCGCATCACAGCTACGGCACGGCTACCCCCCCACCGACCCAGCACTTTCAAGCCTTCTTTGGCCCTGACTCGCCTCTTGAGATGTCAATGCCAGCCTCTTGCCAAGTCTTTGAGAAACTGATGGGATACATGGGAGATTCGAATCGTTCTCGAGTTAACGAAACAGCAATGGACCTCAGCTCACGCCCAAATAAGACTGTTCCGCCCAGAGTCTTGACCTGAGTCTAGGAATGGACTGATGGGAGTGGGCTCCCTCTTGACACAACTTACCCATGTACTGTACATGTACATCGGAGAAGAAGGGCCCCTCCACAAGCCGCCCACATAAGCGTTCTAACTCATCTTTCAGTCCACGGCTCCCTTTGGTTTGGTGTACATCTTACTTGTATACATGCATGACCGCAAACTGCCCAGATATGTATAGAATTTAGTCAACATTAGGACATAAAAGAGGACATGGGCGCCTACGGGATACTGTGAAACATGAGTCTCAGTCTCAGAACCGGCTGATGGAATAACATGTAAGATGAGCAACTTCTCGGTGCCTGATATTCGGTAGGGCACAATATCGAGCTTCTTTGACAGGGCCGTTCGCGCCCATAAACCCACAGCACGCCCCTCATTAAACTAGAGAGCAGCCAGCATCAAGACTTGGGCCCCTTTTGCTGGAAAAGGAGTCCACATTGCATCCCAGTCACTCTTACACTGGCCGATTCTCCCCCTCGTCTTTCTCAACAAGAGATCCACTTCACAACCTCTTCAGTCTATCAAGTCCACCCCTCATCGACGGAATTTCGAGGGCCCCAAGGGTCTAGCTATATCTTTCCAAGCTCACCTCAGGCTCGGTCGTGTGGCCTTGTTCAAGAAAGATTTGATCCAAAGTTGGGTCTCTTGACTTTAGTTCAGACCCCTGTTTATCCATCGCTCGTCCCAGAGAGCGGTTGGTGCGCCGCCTCGTGCCCTCGCCGAGTTGAAATTGCTACATCTGTTGATCGTGTTTCCCTCCACTCCCACCTCCCATCCCATACCATCCCGCCCATCTGGTTCCGTCTTCCGTCCGTCCTCCCGTTGCCTTCCCGCCTTGGGTCAAACTTGTTCCCCTTTGCTCCCGCACATCGTCTCTACGCCGTCGCCGCACCAGCACTTTTGGGGCTCGATATAAAAAGTGCGAGATCAGTGCTACTGTATGTCCGAGCCAAGCACTCCCTTTGCCCCATGGCGCCCTAATATATACTTACTTGCGTGACTCCCTGCCAGGTTACGGCCCTCTTCTCGATTAAACTACTGTGCTAGGTCACTGCCCAGCCCGCTCTCTATCCACGAGAAACCCGAAACCACCTCGCTTCGCCCAACGCTAAATCACACCGAGTCTCGCATATCCATCCATCTTCGGCACCCCGTGGGACCTCTTGGCCGGTTTCCATTTACTCAGCTACAACCCTCTACCCCCTGAAGCCGAACAATCTTGTCCTGGCGTCTGGGCTCAATATTCCTCGCACAGCAACCATTTGTCCGTCTCATTTACATTTGAAGCGAGTTTTGACAAGGCACCTCACTAGACCTGCAGAGCCGAAGCGTGTTTTGGTGTACATTTCATCTATACCTCCCATATATCGCCTCCCCTCCGCCGACGTCGAGGCACCTGCACCGTCACCTTGACCCCACGTTTGCGCACGATTGTATCACGACCCGAATAACATAACTCTCACGAACATGGCCGAGAAGCCTTCGGTCTTGATTATTGGAGGGCTTGGCTACATTGGCCGTTTTCTGGCCCTCCACATCCACCAGAACGAGTTCGCTTCCGATGTGAGGCTCGTTGACAAAGTCCTCCCTCAGCTCGCATGGCTAGCTCCTGAGTTCTCCGAAGCCTGCTCACAAGACAAGTTCATGCAGGCTGATGCCAGTAGACCTGGTGAGTTTCTACACTGCTTACTCTGTTGCTGGCAGCCCCGCTTGCTGGTGCAGGTGGCTGCCTTATGTATGACTAGTTGGCTAACTATATGTTTCCCCTCTTTCCAGAAGGATTGGCACGCATTTTTGACCGGCCAGATGGAAAACAATGGGACTATGTTTTTAACTGTGGAGGTGAGACGAGGTACTCACAAGAGGATGAGGTCTACAAGCTTCGATCATTGAACCTCTCTATTGCAGTGGGCAAAGAGGCGGCCAAAAGAGGAGTCAAGGCCTTTGTTGAGCTGAGCACAGGCATGGTGTACAAGTCCGACTCATCACCAAGCAAAGAGGGAGATAAACTCAAACCTTGGAACCGGATTGCTGTGTTTAAGTTGCAGGCTGAGGAGGAGCTGTCCAAAATTGAAGGGTATAGTGGGACCATGACTTTTGGACATTCAATTCACTAATGCACAGTACAGCCTCAACCTTGTCATCGTGCGTTTACCGCACGTCTATGGACCCTATGCCTCTCAGTGGGTCGCGACAGCATTGTGCATGGCTCGCACTTATCAACACCTTGAAGACGAAATGAAGTGGCTCTGGACCAAGGACCTCCGAACCAACACAGCACACATTGACGATGTAACGCGGGCTTTGTGGGAAATCGCAGCATGGTTTGATGCAGGCAAGGCGAAGTGGGACGAGGCCAGTATGGGCAAGATCCCCATCTTCAACATCGTTGATGAGGGTGCGACGAGTCAAGGCACCATAGCGACAATTATTGGTGATATTTTCAAGATCGAGACTGGTTTCCAGGGCCAGCTCATCAGCACATTTGCTCGACTCAACCTCGATAGTGTTGTGGACGATGTTAATGACGAGCTTCTGGGGCCATGGGCCGACCTCCTCGCAGATGCGGGCATTACACGACCGGGCCCGCTGACTCCCTTCATGGAGAAGGAATTGCTCAAGGATACGGACCTCAGTATGGACGGAACGCGGCTCAAGACACTATTGGGGTTTGAGTACAAGAAACCTGCCCTCACGAAGGAGTTGATCGAGGAGGTGATCGAGAGCTACAAGAAGATGAAGTGGTGGCCTTGAGCGGGGCCGGAAAATGGTTGAAGACGACATATGCGACGTGACATGACATGGTTTGTATGGTGTGCGTATGCATGCATGCATGGATGAAGATTCGCATTGATTTTGGCTTGTTTCTTGCATGAACTCGACTTAGCGAAGAACCCGCCTCTTGCTGGAAGAGACGGACGATACCCGGGACGACGAAAGCCAACGGCATGAGGAGCAGGGCCAGCAAGACTTGACAGGGTTGAGCTTCAGCTGATTTAGTGTCAGATGAGAATTGGCGCAGCCAACAGGTGATGGTGATGTCTGGGGAGGTAGGTGATGATGCTATACATGCACGACCTGGATGCTAGGGGGGGATATGGAGGGCAAAGGTCGTACGAGATGAGTGTATCCGAGTAGAGGGTATGCTAATAATTATAGGCAAATATACTAGTTACATGTTAGATGAGGGTTTCGCTGCGCTTGTGGTGTTGGGCATAGTTATGTATGTGCACGCAGCATTGTTCATGGAAAATCGGTCTGACAAGGGTAAGCTGATCCGGGGATGTACTCCATATAAAGGATAGAAAAGGATGCCTGCCATTCTTGATGAGCCGAGGCTTGTGATGGGTTAACGACATGTGGAAGCGAAATGGTGAAGTTGGAGTCGCGGTATCCAAGCGAAGGTGGAGATTGAGGTTTAGCAATGCGGGGACGAGACTTTGGGGGAGAGTCTTACAAGTAGGTGGTCGACGTCGTGAAATTTTTGAGGATATGAGGGTTCGAGATGTTGGGGTGATGTTGCCATGAGATGAATCCATGCTAGCCATGCCAAGTGAATAAGCACCTACTGCAAGGGGTAATATCATATGATGAGTGAGTGAGTGAGTGAGAGGGAAGACGTCATTCTTTGCAACGACAACTGGCAACTGAGACTTGTATAAGGCAGTACGGCGTAGTCTAGGTAGTTGGGGAATCTACTAACTTAGCACCTTGTTATTCATGGTGACTCTATACGTCAAGTTGTCATGATATGATGGATGCAAGTAAAGCATGTGGTGTTGCGGTAAAAATGAAGGGGACTCTGATAGCCCTTTCAGAACCACCCACCGGGATCAAAGAGAAGTCCGCTCGCTTCTTGGCAAATCCGAGGCTACCTACCTGGACTACATACCTATTTCACGGTTGATTGCTGTATGCGCATTCGCGGCTCAACTTCCATATTCGAAGTATTCCCGTCCTCTCAAGTTTCGAATGGGATTCCTGTCTCGTCTTTTGTCTTGTGCCATGGTCGCTCAGCCTCTTTTAACGTAGCTTTTCCCCGCACTACCTACCTACCTTATCCCTTTGGATCCGAGGGAGTACCAGTTAAGTATTTTGATAGGGCATGCTCTAGTATTAATTGGCTGTAAATCTTTACGCCATAAATACCAGCCTCAAGGAGGTACAGTAGTAAGGATAGAGGTTATAATTAGTAGACTGTATTATCAAGGATACCTAGATCTTAGTACTAACTACTAGTTAGCTTAAGTACCTCTAATACTGGCTTCTTTATTAGCAGGACCTCACAGACGTACCTAAGTGGTGCTCCCTCGGATCCAAAGGGATAGACAGCCAGCCATTCATAGATGCACCCCTACTACTATATCTGTCTTGTAAAAGATTGAACACCTACTATTTTGGTAAATGCTTGGAAAGATAGGTAGGTATAGTAGGTAGCTCGACTGGGCCGTGGTATTCTTTACAGAATTCAATGAAACGTGACTTTGCAATTAGCCATGTTTTTTGACCTCGGCGATCATGCGCCTCTCTCGGCGTTGCTTGTGATAAACAAACGCAATCAATCAATCATTCACTCAGCCTCGTTGTTGACAAACAAAAGATAGGTATATAAGGCAAGACTCTCCTGGAGTGGCCAGTTGTCTGACCTACCTAGGTACCTTACCTACATACTCACCTTATACTTTCCACTCAGTGAAACTGTTACGTGTCTCAACTGTAGTACAGGTCATTTGTGGCGTGTCTATACTTTGAGGAAGGACCATACATCTGCGCTTTGAATCCTTGATAGCGTCATTTCGATCCACCGTCTGCCAGCAACGCAGCCTCATTACTTACCTACCTATCAATAGGTACCTACCACCAACAACCCACTGACCAAACCGTGGTTGTTTTCTTCTTTCTCCTCATACAACATCTATACGGATACCCACATCTTGATATTCCCATCAACCGCAACACAACAATGGCTGCTCCCGCCGAAAAGACCATTTCTGACCTCAGTGGTAAATGGGTTCTCGTATGCTGCTCTCCCCCCGCTTCCACATAATGTACCCCTGTATCTTGTCACTGACAATGGCTCGCAATAGAACAAGACTCTTTCCGACAGCTCTGAGCCTATCCTCAGCTTGCAGGGAATCGGATACCTCACTCGTAAGGGAATTGGCTTGGCCACCATCAGCCTTGATATCAACCAGTACAACGCCCCTCCCAAGCCCCCCAACACATCCACCGACGTTTTCACCCACATCGACATCACCCAGTCTGCCTCTGGCCTGAGCAGCACTCACGAGAACCGCTGTCTCGACTTCAACAACCGTGAGCACTCGGACTGGCTCTTCGGTGCCGTCAGGGGTCGATCCAGGTTCGTCACTCTCGATGAGATTGAGGATGACTTCCTCAAGACTGGCTGGCTTACCGAGGGCGATGGCAAGTTCATCCAGAGCATTGCTGAAAGCATCGACAACGGCTGGGTCGCCAATCAGATCTGGGGCTTCGAGGAGATCAACGGCGAGAGGAGATATGTGAGGCACATCTTGGTGACCAAGGGTGACAAGAGGGTCACCGCCAAGCTCATCTACGACTACCAGGCTTAGAGATGGGATTAATTACTCCAGAACACTACTTGACCTAGTATAGACGACTGACGGCCACAATGCCTAATTATTGCCCAGTCACTCATGCAATAGTTGCTCATGAGACAAATATAATTTGACAGACCGATATGAAGTCATCCTAAACTGAGTTCCCATGCACCAGTTGCACCACACAACATTTGTGTTCACCAATGTGTATTATTAACCCACATATCGCGCTATGTTGAAAGCAGCTTTCCTGCCTGGCTGGCTGGCCGTTATGAGCCTGCTGAAGTCCGTCGTGATGTCCAGGCCATTTATTTCCCTAACGCCCATCCATGATGCTTGGTACTTGTTTTTCTTTTGCCCCTTGCACTATATTCCCGCGGCCTTTGTTCCTCGGTATTTGGGTCCCAGCTCTGGCATTGATATCACATGCTAAAAATAACCACTTTACTCGGGTCTTCGCTTCACAAACTCCTCGAGGTCCTGTACTGTCGCGACGCCCAAGACGAACCTCCTCTTCTCATCCGTGATAACGGCGAATTCCTGCTTCCAGGGTCCATCGGGCACGCCTCCACGGAAAAAGTTCTCAAGGTCCTCGAGGGTCGTTTCCATCGTGATGACCTGGTAGGTACGGCCCTTGCGCTGGAAGCGTGTCATGGCGGCCGAGAGCTGATCTTCGGGCTTGACCTTGCCTGAGTCGAGAAGGGACTGAAGGTGAGGAATGGATATGTAACCTAGCAACGCGCGGGTGTCGGCATCGACGACGGTAAGATGCGTGTAGTCGCGCTCAAAGGCGGACATGAGGGCGAGAGAGATGGCATCGGAGGGGTTGAGTGAGAGTGCAGCCGGAGGGTCGAGGTCTTCGACAGTGGCCTGTGATGCATTAGCCGCAGCTCGAAGGAATGGCATTCTCCATAGAAGCTATCTCCCTATAGCCTGGAGCGCAAAGTGGTGTCATGAGAAGTACATACCCCACGATATCGAGAAGACCACTTTGTAACCAAGGGCCGTGTCGCACCCGATGTTGTGGTGGTGGTGGTGGCGGTGGTGGTGGTGGTAGTAGTTGCTATTTTACTTACAATAGCTATTATAAACTAGTCGGGAAAAGATTTTGGCAGCGATTGGTGCACACGCTGGTTCAAGTTGAAAGGTTGGTGAGCTGAAGCGAT